CCTCCTCCTCCTCCTCCTCCTCCTCCTCCTCCTCCTCCTCCTCGCTCCTCGGTCCTCGGTCCTCGGTCCTCGGTCCTCTTCCTCCTCCCCCTCGTCCTCCTCCCCCTCATCGTCATCGCCATCGTCATCGTCATCATCATCAGCATCATCAACAGCATCAGCATCATCACAATCATCACACCAGCAGCAGCAGTATCATTGTGATCATCATGATTATCATCAGCATCATCATCACCATCATCATCACTATCATCGTCATCAGCATTCACATCATCATCATCATCAACAACCTCATCATCATCACCACCATCAATCGTCATCGTCATCATCATCATCATCCATCATCATCGCCGTCATCAGCATCGTCATCAATACCACCATCGTCATCACCATCGGCGTCGCCATCATCATCACCAGCATCATCAGCATCATCATCATTAAAATAAGCAGCATCATCATCATCACCATCAGCATCATCAACAACACTACCATCAGCAGCAGCAGAAGCAACATCGTCAGCATCATCAGCATCACCGTCACCCTCATCATCAACACCGCCATCACCAGCATCATCACCATCATCAGCGTCATCACCAACACCCCCGGCCGCACCAGCATCATCATCACCACCATCACCAACACCAGCATCAGCATCATCACCATCAGCAGCATCACCATCACCAGTATTATCATCAGCATCATCATCATCAGCAGCATCATCAACATAAACATCATCAGCATCAGCATAGTCGTCATCAGCATCATCAGCATCGTCATCATCATCCTGATACGCTGTTTCGTTAGGCGGAGAACCGAGTTCTGTTAACGACGGTTCGCTGCGATCAGCGAGCTGCTCCTCCAGAGCTCTGGGGCAAGGGGCCGAAACGGCCCCGCTCAGAGGGAACCGAAGACAGTCAGACGAATACCCCTCTGCCGCGCGGGGGCCCCCCTTCCGAGGTTGGGCGGGCTGGGAGAACCGAGAAGGGCTGCGGTCGCAATGCTCCCTGCTACTCGTTGGCAGACGACACCCCGCTCCCCGCTTAATCATATCCGTGCACGCACCCCCATGATGCGCTGTTTCGTTAGGCGGAGAACCGAGTTCCGTTAACGACGGCTCGCCGCGATCAGCGAGCTGCTCCTCCAGAGCCCTGGGACAATGTGCCGAAAAGGCCCCGCTCAGAGGGAACCGAAGACAGTCAGACGAACCCCCCCCCGCCGCGCGGGAGCCCCCCTGCCCCCTACACAGGGCTAGCATTATAGATCGAGGCCCTCGCGAGGGACTGGAGGGAACGAGTGGGCGCGTGGTTTAGAAGCGCTGGGCGTTTAAAGGAATAACTAGCGTGGCTCACTCCGAATTCATCTCTGCCCCGTAGCCGGATATGAGGGACGCCAATCCTATCACAAATGCCTGTGCAACTGCAACAAGTACGGGCCAATGTCGACATGGCTTCGGGCTCCGTGCCAACGTGCATGTATATACAACGGTGTCTCCAGGAAGCTCCGAACATGCATCTGTCACTGGCAACTGTCGTCACGAAACTTTCTGGCACCTCGGGTTGGCTCACGAGATGTGGCCAGAGCCGGCTACCCTGGGGCATTTCCAGGAGGAGCGGCGCTCGAGCTTGCCAGGCAGCGGCAATGAGGCGCTTCAAACGCTCCGCAAACCTCCGCAGACGGTGGTGGCCTGCTAGCCTACCTGTAGATTTGCTCGCCGACGACAGCGCGGGCGACAGGAAAAGCACGGCCACCTCGCCACGCCGCATGTGCGCCTGGAGGCGGCGCTCCAGGGGCGCGCCCAGCCGCTCGTCACAGAGGGCGTCGCCTCGCCACATCCAGGTAGGCACCCCGCTCTCGGCGAGGCCCGACCCGATCGTGGCCAGCTCGTCCCCGACCAGGAGCGCTTTGCACCGTTCGGCGAGGGCTGGATGCCTCATGGCAGCGGCACCGCTCGCCCCCACACCAAGGCGCGCTCCAGCTCGCGCAAGCACTGGTCGCCGTGCGCCTCCAGCATCGGCCCGTGCATCTGCGCGCGCTGCCCGAGGCGCGCGCTCTTCTCGTAGCGCGCCATGTTCTTCAACTGGCGCCAGCCTCCTCGCCGCTGCACCTCGGCCTGCGTCCTCTCGCCGCTGACACGGTCGACGCTGGCGCCCGAGTGCCGCGCCTGATACGGCGTGACGGGCCGCAGCTGCAGCATGCGGCAGGCCGCCTTCATCTCGCGCAGCAGCTCGGGGTAGTCGAACTCCCACACGCGCTTCCGAGGATCGAGCATCTGCATCTCGCTCAGGACTGGCCCGATCCATCGAAGCCACGAGGAGTCCAGCCTCACGCTCAGGTCGAACTCCCCCACCTTGTCGGGCGTCGCTCGCTCCTGGGGGCGCATGAGGAGTCACCAGTGCTGACTGCCACCTCCTGGTTTCACTATGTCGCCAAGGCGTAGACGGAACAGGGACGACGGCCTGAGGTAGGTCGACACGGCCAGCGCCAAGAACACCGCCATCATCTGTCATCCCCTTAACATCAGAACATGCATAAAGGGCACACCAGATGTTCAGCGGCTCGGGCATCCTGGCTCTCCCAGGCGCCAACCGTTTCCATCCGTTCAGCGCCTTCCACATCCGTGGTAGTGTGTCCGCTCCCAGGCGTCCAAACCTTGGGCAGAAATGGTTCACAGCCGCCGCGACATACATCCCCGTCGAAGCCTGCTCGCCCCGCAGGTACAGCGAGGCGAAGTAGTGGACCAGGCAGGCGTCCATCGTCTCCGCTGGCATCTCGAAAAAATCCTGGCGGCCACACCTCTGCTTCAACTGCTCGAGCACTCTCTGATACTGGGCCCTCACCCGCGGCGTCGCCGTGCTCGACTCCAAGTATCGGTCGAGCGGCGCCCTGCCCTCGATCGCACGAGCCACCGCGCGGTGCCGCCCCTTCACACGCCTCGCCAGCGTCCTCTGCCGCTTGAGCTCGACGGCGGCCTCGGACTCGCTGGTAGTGCCGCTCGGGCTCTCCCCAGCTGACCGAGCCCGCTTTCCAATGACGCGCCTTCGGGCGGCGGCAGGTTGCGCCTCCGCCGCCGCATCCAGGCACTGCACTCGCGAGCCCTCCGCTGGCACTGGCGGCCCTCGGCCTTCCAGCGGGGCTCCGTTCGCGCCTCGAGCTCTCTCCCGCGTGGGCACCCTCAGCCGCGACGCCGACGATGGCTCTGCTGCTGGGGAAAGGCACGTCGCGGTCGGCCGAGCTCTCGACAGCGCCCGAGGCATCCACAACGGCCTGAGCCAACACGGCGACGGAGCGCGACCGAGAGGCAGGGGCCCCAACGGATCCAGAAGAGCAGGGGGCCCCGAGGACGAGAGAGGAGGGGTGACGGCGATGCTCGTGTGTTTCCAGAGCTCTTGTCTGGTGCACCGAAGCGGGGTTACTCGATTGCTCGCATTCTGCATTGCAGCAACTAGAACAGACTGGCTTAAGAACGGACTCAGGTTCAGCACGCCGACAACTTAAGGGGGCCGAACGGCGTGCACGGACAAGGGGGGGTCGTCGCCAACTATACGATTCGACTCATGCTCGTCCCTGAGACTCGACTCAGGAGGAAGAGAAAAGGCAGGCAGAGAGACAGGAATCAGACGCGTTAGGATCTTGGATGGCTCGCCACCGTCGGCCCGCGAGCCTTTGTCACTATTGTTAAGCTCACTTGGGACCCAGCGGACGATCGCCCTAAGGTTTCGACTGCAAAGATAGGCAGCGAGCTTACGAATCTGTCGCAACACCGCGAAGCTACGACACCTACATCTACCAAACGCTAGTGCTACACCTAGGCTGCCGACTAACAAGATCTGCCTGGCATCGAGGCCGAAACGAGTGCGTGCAATACGCCTCAGAGATTTCACGAGGGCCCTGGACTCTAGAATGCAGATGTGCCCACTGCACCTCCACGTCCCCTGGCCTACGTTACGCAAAAGCTGATGAGACAAGAGAGAGCTGGGCACCTCACAGAACTCGGGGTCCATCTCGTAGTCACCCCTGGGCAGCTTGGATTCGGTCAAGGCCCTCTCGCCTTCGTCGACGCAGAGAGCGACGCCCTCTCCCCTGGCGGTCAGAAACTCCCCGAGACCCGCGGCAGAGAGGGCGGGGCGACGAGCGCCCCCCCCCCCCCTCGGCACGGAAACGACTCCTCTCCCGCCAGCGGCCCACGGAGTTGAGAGCCTCGAGGTCCCAGAAGCTCCCCGCTATACCGAACCCGCTCTCTGAAGCATCTGAACACTGCACCCATCGATTATATGGCAACCACCAATCTGTGGCGATCAGGGGAAGCAAGCCTCGAAATGCCTTCGACTCTTCTCGGCAACTATTCCAAAGTGGCGCTGAGTCGTTGCCCATGTTAGTCACAAACCTATAACAAGAGTGAAAGACGCAAAGCACGGGGCGGCGCACCAGGCCCAGGTACGTGCAGTGCCCCAGCAGGACGCGCAGGTCATCACCACGGACTGCACGAAGTTGGAGCAGTCCCTGATCGCCTGGCGCACCCTCCAGGGCCTATTCCACGTCGGGCGCGTCTGCAGCCTCTGGCCGCCCAGCACCACGCCGAGCACCTCGATGCCGCCACTCCGAACCTCACGCCCGTGGACGCGTAGACCCGCGGCCTCGAAGGCCTGCGCCAGCTCGTCGAGGCTGCTGCTCACGCGCTCCCCGTTCTGCCCGATCACGCCCACGTTGTCGACGTACACGTAGTGCTCGATCTGCGCCGTGCCCGCTGCCATCCTGAGCACCAACGGCTTCTCCACGTCGCTGAGGGGCGTGCCGTCGCGAAGGCTCGGCGCGAACTGACAGCGGAGCTCCGTCGCGCTCTGGCACAGGTACAGGCTCCAGGTACATCCCATCGGGAGAGCCTCGGGGACTGGGAAGATAAAGTCGTCGTAACCGAGCACCCCCCCCCCACACACCCCCCACTCCAGCATCGCCCCGCGGAGCCTGACGCCCCCGGACTTCAGGGCGGGCAGGCCGAACAAGCGCTTCATCCATGGGCGGCAGCCGCACGCGGTGGAAGGCGCCCTTCACGTCCGCCACCCCCAACGAGAACTCCACGTCCTCAAGCGCCGCCTGGAGGGCCGCCTGCAGATGGTCCTCGGCGTACCCGTCCTCCTCGAGCTCGAAGGCCGAGAGACCCTCCGCCGTCAGCAATTGCACCGACGGGGGATCGATCAACCAAGCGTTGCTCCTGCGACAATCCAGAATCATACGAGTCTGTACTCCCCCCCTTTGTCCACACGAAAAAGATGCCCACCAACTCCGAGACCTGACGCGCAAAGGACACGAGTCCACGTTTCGCGAGATCCCTCGCAAAATCACCGCACCGCCGCCGGCTCCGCACCAGCGATGGCTCGCTGAAGGGCACTCGCGGGCAACGCTCCAGCGCCTCGAGCACGCTCTTGTGGTCCCGCAGCATGCGCTCGCCCTGCCCAATCCACGTACTGGCGCGCTCGCCCCCGAAGCAGTTCACGAAGCGCAGGCGCCTCGGCGATGCCCTCGGGAAGCGACGGCAGCCCAGGTCGGTAAGGGGCGAGCACGTCCTCGGGAGGGCCGCCGAGGTAAGGCGACCTCCCTCGCATCAGCTCCCGCAGGGCTGAATGCGGAGGCTGCAGCTCCACGCCTCGCATCGGCTGCGCGATGTCGTTCACCTGCCCATCGATGCGCTGCGCAACGTCGAGCTGCACGGCCGTCACGGGGAAGACCCCGCGGATGCCCCTGCAAGCCAATTGAAGCTGTCAACAGCCTCGTTCACAAGTACAGGGCGAAAGCGCCGCTGACGAAGTCGAGCCCGTCCTCGTCCTGACGTCGTTTGGCCCGCGAGCTCCTCCCTCCTTGGCAGCGGGGAGATGTCGCGAGCGCCGTCCCCAGGCCACGGCCCAGGCGGTCCTGCGCACTCGAGGCCGCTGGCTGGGCCACGTCCAGCGGCCGCTCCCTCCATCATCACCTGTCAGCTCCCGACGCGGTCGCGTCGGGAGCCTTCCTCGGCCCTTTCAGCCCCTTCTCGTCGCCCTTGCCGTCGCCTTCTCTGTCTTCGGCCGCTCGGCCGCCGTGGGGGCCCGGACGCGAGCGCCCAAGAACTCGGCGTCCTCCTTGGCCCGCTTGGCACCGAAGCTGCGCAGCTCAGGCGCCGCCGCGTCTCCTGGGCCCGTCTCGCCTGTGAGGTAGCGGGCCATCCGCCAGTTGGCTGGAGCCCCAGGCACAGAATGGGCGTCGGTGATCACCTGGATCCGCCTCGCGAGCCTCTCCAACGACCTCAGACCGCCCAACTTTACCTGGTCGTAGGTTCCTGCTGGCAGAAGGGCGTGGCAAAGAACCTCCAGCTCGTGGTAGATCCGATCCGTGCGCTAGATGCGGTGCTCTCGGCTCCACTCGGCCAGCCATCGCATCGGGTCGCCGCCGCTCTTGTACATGGCCTTCGCCAGGTGGACGATCGACGCGGGCCCGTCGATCGGGTCGTCGGGGAAGCTCTCGGCCGTGATCTCGCTCACCACGCTGCGCCAATCCTTGAACCTCTCGCTGCGCCCGTCGAAGTCGACGCTGAGGGTCCTCACGTCGTCCACGCTACTGGTCGCTTTGCGCTCCTCTCCACTGCCAACCTCGCCCCCGTTCTCGCTAGTGTTCCGCCCGAGCTGGTCCTTCACTCCCTTTTTCATAGATCTGTCGACCAGCGGCTCCAACGCGCCTATGGCTCGGCGCAGGCGCGCTATCTGCTCGCTGGCCAAGGCGGGTGCACTACCGACAGCCACTCGACGCACTCGGGACACCTCCGATCCCATGAACTTCAGCCCGTCGCTGCCAGTCATCACGTCCGCCGGCGTCATGTGCACTTCCTCGCCTATGGCCCGTCCGCCGCCTGGCTCCATCAGCACCCAGATCGTGTCTGCAGTTGGAGAGGCGTCCACAAGCTGAGCCAGATCACCTCGGGGAGCACGCAACACAGCCGACAGCTCAGTACGATGACCATCGTCCCCGATAACGTACTTCGGCCATTCCTCCATCTTCTGCCCCCTCGCCGTCTCGACATCACGGCACCCCCTGCTCAGCGCCATGATCTGCTCAAGATTCGGTCTCTCCCTGAACTTGTACAGTCGCCGAGCGCCAAGCAACGGGTAGCCCACGTTCGGCATCGGTCGAGCCCCGCTTGGGCCCGTGAGAGGAATTTCTCCGTCGAGCCGCTCCTTCCACACGTCCCCGTCGGGAGAGAGAACCCACCAGACCTCGTCGTCCTCTATCCCCGATCCGTCCTCGCGCACACGTCGAACTGGCCATAGTAGATATCTCTCATGGTCCACGTCATCGTCCGAACAGCTCACGCGGGCTCGCGAGCCCACCGCTGCCTCACGCCAGAACTCCTGCTCCCCTGCGGCGAGGCGCAACGGCACATGAGCTCTCGCCATCTCTCGTCGCCGTCGTTGTCCTCACCCCTCGCCGCGCCTGCCACAGGCGCCACGCGGCGCCGCCGAACACCTGCCCCGCCCACCACAGCAGCGGCCCGCTGGCCCAGCCTGCTGGGGGCTCGGGCGCGGCCGCGGGGCACTCCTCCGCCGCTGGCTCCAAGGCGGGGCACTCGGCCGCCGCCCACAGGGGCGCCCCAGCCGCCCACGCGGCCGCGGGCGCGGCAGGCGACGGCGGCGGGGACGGCGGAGGCGGCGGGGCCGCGCTCGCCGTCCAGTTGCGAGCCGCCGCCAGCTCGCGCTCCCGCACGGACTGCGAGAGCTGCTCTTGCACGAGCTCTCCGAGCTGCGACCAGAGAACCAACCACAGTGGACGGTTCGGAGGCGCTTGCCACTGCATAGCCTGAGAACCGAGAAGGGATGCGGTCGCAATGCTCCCTGCTAATCGTTGGCAGACGACACCCCGCTCCCCGCTTAATCATATCCGTGTACGCACCCCCATCATCATCATCATCATCATCATCATCATCATCATCATCATCATCATCATCATCATCATCATCATCATCATCATCATCATCATCATCATCATCATCATCAGCATCAGCATCAGCATCAGCATCAGCATCATCATCATCATCATCATCATCAGCAGCATCAGCATCAGCATCAGCATCAGCATCATCATCATCATCATCATCATCATCATCATCATCAGCAGCATCATCATCAGTATCAGCATCACCATCCCACTCCTCCTCGCTCCTCGCTGCTCGCTCCTCCTCCTCCTCCTCCTCCTCCTCCTCGTTCCTCCTCCTCGCTCCTCGCTCCTCGCTCCTCGCTCCTCGTTCCTCGCTCCTCCTTCCCCTCCCCCTCCCCCATCCTCCTTCTCCTCCTCCTTCTCCTTCTCCTCCTCCTCAGCCTCCTCTACCTCCTGCACCATACTCTGCGAATAGCGGCAGGAGGATTGGCAGCACTGACAGCGGCTGCGATTGAAATCATTGAACCCACGATATCTCCCTGGACGTTGGTGGTTCGCGGCCTCGCTCGAACACGTGTGGTGCCACATCATGTTTGGTGACGTCCGTCATCCCGAAAACGGAATGGGGCAATATCGCGCCGTCCCGTGGGACCATGTCGTCACGTAATGCCGTGGTACCGTGCCGCCACACGTGGTGAATGGCGGTACCGCGCCGTGCCGTGATGCCGCGCCGTCACGCAATGCCGTTGGTGCCGTGCCGTCACGCAATGCCGTCGCGCAATGCTGTCACGCAATGCCGTCACGCAATGCCGCCGCGCCGTGTCGTTGTGCTGTGCCGCCGCGTGCAGATTGGTTGTGCGCTGACCTGCGGTCCGCCTGGTTGGGGCGGGTACAAATACTAGCCAAGCACCCTGTCCAGGGTGGTAGCCGAGCTCCGCTTGGCAGCCGACGGGGTCGGTCCCCCGCCCGCCCGCCCTGGGGTGGGGATGTTGGGGTTGTGAGCTGGCTGGGCGGTGTCTTCGGGAAGCTCTCGTCCCCACATGGCCGGCCCAGCAGCGCCGTACACGCATGTGTCATCAGAGACGCGCAACCATGCCCCACAGCCATGGGGCCAATCCTCCTTCTCCTCCTCCTCCTCCTCCTCCTCCTCCTCCTCCTCCTCCTCCTCCTCCTCCTCCCTCCTCCTCCTCCTCCTCCTCCTTCTTCCTCCTCTCTCCTCCTCCTCCTTCCTCCTCCTCCTCCTTTTACTTTTCCTCCTCGCTCTCGCTCCTCGCACTTCGCTCCCCGCTCCTCCTCCTCCTCCTCCTCGCTCATCCTCCTCCTCGCTCTCCCCTCGCTCCTCTCGTCCTCGCTCCTCGCTCCTCGCTCTCGCTCCTCGCTCCTCGTCCTCGTCTCGTCCTCCTCTCGTCCCTCCTCCTCCTCCGCTCCTCTCGCACATAGCTCCTCGCTCCTCACTCGTTCCTCGCCCTCCTCCTCGCTCATCACTCGCTCCCTCCTCCTCATCCTCGCTCCTCGCTCCTCGCGCCTCCTCCTCGCGCCTCCTCGCGCTCTCCTCTCCTCCTCTCCTCCTCCTCCTCCCTCCTCCTCCTCCTTCTCCTCGCTCCTCCTCCTCCTCCTCGCTCCTCCCCTCTCGTCCTCGCTCCTCGCTCTCGTCCTCGTCCTCGTCCTCGTTCCTCGTCCTCCTCCTCCTCCTCCTCCTCGCTCCTCGCTCCTCCTCGCTCCTAGCTCCTCGCTCCTCCTCGTTCCTCGCTCCTACTCCTCACTCATCGCTCTTCGCTCCTCGTTCCTGGCTCCTCGCTCCTGGCTCCTCGCTCCTCCTCGCTCCCAGCTCCTCGCTCCTCGCTCCTCGCTCCTCGCTCCTCGCTCCTCCTCCTCCTCCTCCTCCTCCTCCTCCTCCTCCATTCCTTTCCTTATGAACAACTTCTCCCTGTCGCACCCCGAGGCCGGTTTTGAGGGCGGGCTGGGCGTTTCGCCTGAGACTTCCTCACCACTCATGACCCTGAAGCTTCAACGTTGGCAACAGTTTCACAGATGGAGGGCGGGCCGTTTTCATTATGTGGTACTCGCCTTAGCGCCGCGCACATTCGTTTCAAAACAATGCAAGAGTTTACGGATTGAGGGCGGCCCGTTTTCAAACTGTGGCTTTCGCCTTAGCGCCGCGCACATTCGTTTTCAATATTTACAAAAGCTTCACGGATTGAGGGGAATCCGTTTTCAAAACGTGGCTCTCGCTTTAGCGCCGCGCGCATTAGTTTCAAAACTTTGCAATAGTTACACGGATTGAGGGCGGCTCCATTTCAAACTGTGGCTCCCGCCTCAGCGCCGCGCACATTCGTTAATCAAATTTGCAAGATTTTGACGGATGCCCATGATCAAGATACAAGAAATGGTACTCCAACTTTTGTAATAAAAGAGGGGGGGTCTGATTTGGGGGGGGTCTGGCTCAACCTGTCTTGGAGACAGGGGGTCGGGTCTGAGTTTGATGCCCGAAGGAGTCCCGCGGGGTGATCTGTTTCGATCTGTCTGGGAGGTGCGGGGGGGGGGCTCGGTTTTGTTCATCAGTTGGCCCAGAGAGGGGGGTCTGTGTCAACGTGTCGTCTCAGACGCCACCCAGAGCTTTTGGGGGGGTCAAGGTTCTCCATGGTTCGTCTTGTTGTCCTCAGCTGAGGGGGGGGTCTCGGCGTGCCTGTCTGGAAGTCCGGGGCGGGGGGGTCTGCGTTTTGGCATTCGCTGGCCCTCAATTGGAAGGGGGGCCTCTGCAATCCTGTCTCCAGAACTTCCACCAAGGGGGTCTGCATTTTGACGCTTCAACGTTTAACCTTGGCTGAAGGGGGGTCTCCGCGAAACAATCTAGGGCTTCTAAGGGAGGTCTGCCCATCGTCCTTTCGACAGTACCAGACCTCGGGTGGAGGGGGCTTTTCTGTGAACCTGTGTGGGGCTTCTTCCCAGGGGGCTCGAGACTGCGCTGCTCGGGAGGCTGATGTTGCCCCAGGGGGTTCTGCGCGACGGCGTCCCCAGAGGTGAACTATAGTGGTCCCGAAGTTGTACTGGGTCGCCCTAGGTTGGCGCACTTGTTTGGGATCGCGCTGGGGCTATCGGAGGTATGTCTGCATTATTTAGGAAGGATTCAGGATTCTGAGGGTGCAACAGTTACGCTCGTTCGAGATGTTGCAGTCCCAAAAAAAGAAATTCTGGCATGACTCTGGATCGCCCAAACGCAACAGTTAGGTTGATCCGTGGCGTTGCAATCCCGCGAACAATGCTTTTGCGTGCTTCAGGGTCTTCAAATGGATGTCTTCCAACGAAGCAGTTCTCTCAATTTTGAAATGAAACGTTGTAGGGGCCTATGCGGAGGGGGTTTGGAAAGAGGGTTTATTCCAACATCGTTGATGACTCTTGGGTTTACACTGGTCCTCCTCCTCCTCCTCCCCTCCCTCTCCCCCCGACTCAAGTCAGGGTCTGCCGCCCGCCGCGCGCGCCCTTCTGAGAGGCCTCCCAGATGAGGTCCGAGGAGATGGGGTCGGTGAACGGCACCGCATCGCCGATGCATCGCCGATGCAATTGCGATACATTCACGACGTCGGCGGTGTATCGGCGCCGGCGAAAATCGGGCCCCACATCGAGCCGCATCGCCGACGCATCAGCGATGCGGCGCGATCCTCCGACCCCATCTGGGAGGCCTCTACTTCGAAGAGGGAACCAACTACAGAATTGAATTGCCCCCAGATTGATATTTCCGCCGAGTCCATAGAAGATACATAGAATGCTCCGTAGGTCTACGGAACTTTCTAAGCACTGTGCGTAGATTCGACGTGAAATCCGCTTTGGGGGAACGTTCTGCGCACTTTTCGTAGACTCGACGGGGAATCAACTTTGGGGTAGAAGGCAATTCTGCAATTCGTCGATCCCCCACTCGAAGGCTTCTGGTGGATGTCTACTAGAGCGCGTTTCTTTTTGTTCGGCGATGACGGCGGGCGTCATGGGGGGAGCGGGAGGGGGGTATGACGTAACGCCCCCCCCCCGCCGTGTGGCTCCGGCACCACAGCCGCGCCCGCGCGCACGACGCAACGAGCGATGAGCGACGACGACGACGACGACGACGACGACGACGACGACGGCGACGACGCGAGCAGCATGCAGGTGGCGATCTGCCCCACGTGTACACCACAACGCTCGCGTGCACCACAAGGCGCGTGCCTTCGTACACCGAAACACTTGAGCACTGCGTGCACCGTACACCTGCGTGCACCCAATGCTTGCGTACACTACAGCGCCAGTGCACTTGTGTACACCGCAGCAATCATGTGCAAAACAACGCCTGTGTATACCACAATGCTTGCGTGCACCGCAGCACCTGTGCACGATCCGCGTGCAACGCAGCGCTGGTGTCCACCACAGCGCCTGCGTGCATAGGACAGGCAAAAGGAGCATTTATGTGAGAATCTGCTGCGGACAACTAAACGCCACGCCAGGAAAGTGCTGATAATCGAATGCGACGTTCTTCCCTCCTCCCTCCTCCCACCTCCACCTCCTCCTCCTCCTCCTCCTCGTCCTCCTCTTCCTCCTCTTCCTCCTCCTCCTTACCCCCTGTCGTGCGGGTTGGCGCTACAGCGCACGTGCGCATCTCAGAGTGCACCGCAGAATGGTCTATTGAATCGGTCCAGTTGGTTCTCGGACAGCCAATTTAGCTGGAGCCTTCTGGAAGCAGATGGGAGGAGTTAGGGTGGTGCGGGCGGACTCGGGAGGACTCGTAGATTCCAGCGGCGCTCCTTTATCCAAAGAATTCCTTTCTATTGATTTCTGTGGAATCCACAAGCGCTCCATTTTGTCAGAAGGGTTCCTTCTAACATTATATATGCAACAATGGTGCTGTGTTTCGCACGGCTGATGTGGTGTACGCAGGCGCTGTGGTGTACACAAGA